GGGGAAGTCATTCGACACCTCCTGTTTCCATAGTTAGAGATTTCTCTCTACTTCATTAGAATCTTTTCACTACTTCAGCCATGGAGTTGAATGCTCACTTTATAAAACCTGTCCAAGAATAGCCCTTCCCCTCTTTAATATGCATACACAAAAATATGAGAAAATAAGCATGCCAAGAAAATACGTCAGGATTATATGGAGGAGGAGGGTTGAGTTATTCCAAGAGAAAGACTAACTAAAGAAGCAGAAGGCTAAGGAAAGTTGGCCAATAGAAATGTGGAAGCAGAGGCAGACACCCACAGCTAAACATTGAACTGAACTCCCGGAACCCAGTGACAGAGGGGGGAGAACGATCAGTAAAGGAGTCACAAGACTGGACTGGAGAAACCCACAGAAACTGCTGACCTCAACAAGGGTTAGCTCTTGGACACCTGACTGATTGCTGGGAGAACAGGATGGGAGTGATCCAGACCCCCTGAACATGGTTGTCAGGGAGGAGGCCTGGCCAATATATGGGGCCTTGTGCAGTAGATCAGTATTCATCCCTGACATACAAATGGACTTTGGGTGCCCCTCCCACATTTAGAATCTAGGCCCTGCCCTGAACAAAATGACAGATTCTGTATATCCCCATGGAAGACCTCACCCTCCCTGCGGAATGGAGTCGGGATTGTGTGGGGGATTTGGGGGGACGGGTGGGGCAGGTGGAGGAGGGGAGGGAAAAGGAACGGGGATTGACAAGTGAAGCAAGCTTGTTGTTAATTTAAATTTTAAAAATTATAATAAATATTTGTAAGTAAGCTGAAAATGTTATGAGACCCATACTTCTGTGGACTGTTACCTCTACGTGCCTAGTATATTAGTCAGTGATGGCTAGAGTTACAGATTATAAAATGAATCTCTCTATAGAAAGGGAATTTGTGAGAATGCTTTATACTGTGTGCCCTAGAAAATGCAACAGTGGCTGGCTGTGAATGGAAAGTGTAAGTGTCCAGAAGTTTCTCAGTCCACAAGAATGGATGTCTCAGCTGTCTGCAGGCTCTAACAGCAGAGAAGGAAGGGATGGGCTAATAAGGCAAGGACAAGCAGAAAAAGAGTCCAAAGTTCCTTCTTCCATGTCCTTATAAAGGCTTCCAGCAGAAAGAGTGGTCCAGATTACATCTGGATTAAAGATCTAAATGAAAGGTGTGATTTCCTATCTCTAAGATCTATACTAAAGTAGTTATTCTTTCTTCACATTATGTATAATTAATCCACCAATGTGTCTTCTATTTTGGGGTTTTAGTAAATCCCAGATACAGTCATGAGTACAACCAAGACTACCCATCAAGTTCTTAACCTCATCTATTAGAATTCTTGAGCAAAGGGCCCCATTAGAAACTGAGAGGAAGGATTGACAATAATCAGCAGGTACATGAGTATGCTGTAGATCTCATGGCCATGATGACTTTAGAGTCCACATTATGGCCATGGATGACTGAAGTAGGGTGAAATACAAGTCTTTGGTTTCTTGAATTAGAGAGGAGCAGCTAGACACCCAGTAAATGAAGACTCTGGTCTATTTCCATAAGTGAAGGTTTAAAACTAAAATAAGTATGTTGTGTTGGTAGTAACTGGTGTAGAAAGGGGTCTATAGGTGGGAAATATTCTCTTTAAAGAAAAAGGAATAAGGGCTAAAATGACAAGCACACTGAACCTGTCAGAAAGAGTGGGGTGTCTGGGCCCATGAGAATTTTGCCTTGAACCCCTCCATACCGTGCATAGCTTACTCCTCACATCCTGTGGTAGGAAAACCTTCCTTCCTAAAACATGAAAATCGGGATGACTTCTCTGTGGTCCTCATAGCAAAGAATAGCTAGGAACCTCCTACTAGTTTCAAAAAGAAGGATTTTTTCAGGATTTGACTTTTCTCAGAGAAGAAGGATTTAGGTAGCAGTGCCAGAAACAAGTCATACTCCAGAGATAACACCACTGATATTACCATGATGAGTGTGGGCACTGCAGTGTGTGTCACCAATACTGGATTAGGCAATGTGCCTGCTGCTGCTTCACAAATTTGTAACATGGCTGAAAAAATGGGACACAGATGTTTCCAAAAATTAATCAGATTGGACTGTTCCATTTCTTTAGAACATAAGCTGTCATGAGTTTGACTGTCTCAGGCTTGTGTTTGGAACCTAGACTCTGTAGTAAAGTGTAGGGCTTCTGAAGGGAACTCTTCCACTAAAACACTGCCAGGATGGTCCAAAGTTCTAACAACCAATTGCCACTCTCCATGTCCACCCCGCAGCCTCCAGAAGGAGCTTTAAGGATCAAATTTGCAAAGTTTTCCTGTGTGGCTTGGAAATATTGTCACTCGTTATTTTAAACATAGTATCATTTTCTGACATTAATCCTTTTAAATCATCCTTCCTACAACTGAAATTTCACTTTTCACATTCTATTCTATTCACTGAGGTCAATTCTCTCTGCAGTATGGGGAGGTTTATGTTTTCCACTGGAGGACTTGATGTGACCGCTAATCCTTGCTGTGTAGTTGACACATTGTTGAAGAACTGACTCCATCTGACAGGCTTGCAGGCATGTTTCTTTGGCATTTTCTTGATTGCTAATTGATGTATGAGGGCTTAGTCCTCTGTGGGTAGCATCATCCCTAAGCATGTGAGTCTGGGCCATAGAGGAGAGCTACCTGAGCAGAACAGTAAGCAACATACCTTTGTGATTTCAATTTCCACCTTTGGGATCTTGTCATGGTTTCCCTTGATGATTTACTGTAACATGTGAGGTGAGCAAACCTCCACTTTCCCATATTGGGTCTTTTGAATTTTATAACAATATTAGAAAGATAACAAGAACACTTACACATATTCTCAGGACGTGCTATCATGTTCTATCTTACTCCTGCCTGGCCTGCACCCTCTTTGGTTACCAAATACAAAGGCTGTAGACACTGTAATCTATTGCCATATCTACTCTACCAACCACCCTGCTTGCATAACTCTTTTGAAGAAGTTTTAATTTTTTATCTGATGTGACATGTTTCTCTGTAATATCACATGCCTTCCTGATTTTCCCTTTTTATTTCCTCTGGATCTCCATCTTTTCCACTTTAAAAATTATCTTTTGCTAATAATAGTACTGTATATTCCGAATATTAAGTTCCACAAAAATGGGTTATTAGTGTTGGAATGTTTTGTAATTCACCATTCATTGCTTTAGTATTATTAGTTTAGTAAAACTGACCTTCTGTATTACCTGCTTATACCCAAACTAAATCTTACATTCTTTTATGATCTGAAAGTCTCTAAGAACACCAACTTCAGAGGTCCTGTGAGTATTTAAGATTGATCTTGGCTACTTCATAGCTGTTCTTATTAATAGCATGGTTTTACAGTATCATAATTCAAAATTCTTCTATGTATTCATCAGCCAATTGTGAGTGTAATTGTTTCCCCTGATTTCTCTTCAGTATGTGTGCCATGTGTATGACTGGCGATTTATTGTCAAAGTGATCCTGAGGTTGGTTTACAAGTATTTTATTTGAGAGTTTGGCCACCAGGTGGCAGAGCATCTCTATTGCCGCAATGGTAGGGATGGTTTGTTTGACTTCTGCAAGGGCAGCTTTAGTCAGCAGGTTTCTGTGCAAACATCTGAAGAACCTGCAGCGGTGTGAAGACAGATGAGGTGAGCTGAACACAGAAAACTCTTGCCTGGCAGAAGGCCACACTCCCCATGGAGAGCTATGAGGACAAACCAATAGGATGAGAACTGCTGCTCAAGATAAAATAGGATTATGGAATATTTGTCATGTCCAGCCTTCCATGAACTCTGGAAATCTGAACTCAAAACGTCCTGTTGTGTGCCAAGGGCTTTTAGACACTGGGTCATCTCCTTGTTGATTGATAAATATTCTTTATTAAGAACATGATATTTGTAATTCATTAGTGTTTCTGATGCTTTGCAACTAAGAGAACTGGATTCTATCAAAATGGAGAAGTGGAGAATCCTGCTGTATTCTACCAGTGACAAGAAAACTGCACTGCTCCAAGCATGTGGTAATCTTGGATTTCACACACGCTGGGATCTGCAAATCACTGTAGTAAGCTCTAGTCAGCAGGAAATGCCTGTCTTTGATTTTTATGTGCTTCCATCTGATCCATTATCAATAAGACTCTAATTCCTTCCATTTCCTGGAAGTACTTATACATCTGACACTTCTTAGATGATCTTCATTCTTCTAACACTTGTGGATTTGGGTTTTTCTATTTATGCAATTCTTCTTCAAGTTGTGGAGAAATCTGAAAGAAATGGAAGCATGCACCCTCATGCATACACCCTCCACGCCTCATTCATAGACTAAACATTCTCATATTAAAGGCATGGGAAAACTATCTCCAGGGAAGATCATCCTTACAGGAAGGAATATATGACAGAAGGCCAAAGGGAAGAATTTCTTCTTGTTTCCGAACCAAATAAAATACAGAATCTGACCCAGGAAAAACTACAAGGTTTTCATCTTACGTTTCTTTCCTGGAAAACACTAATTTCACCAACCTTGAATGTCTCGAAGTTGTATTTCCTCTGACTCTAGAAGTAAAACCGTCCCCTCCAGAGTCACAACTTGCCAGGGAGAGTACAGGCATCTTATTTCATGTGTTTTTCTGTTACCTCTGTTCTGCAGAGCATCCACCATGGGCGGTATCTGTACCATCAATGCATCACTGCCATATCTGTAGTGGCCGTTCAAACTCCACTTGAGACAATCACATCTGAAGTCTGGTGTGCATTTAGTAAACTGGTTTCAAAATGAATATTCACACTTCCTTCCACTTCTAGCAGATGCCAGAACTAATACCTCATCATAGATTAGGAAAAGAAGCTATCTAATTTGTGTAAGTTTTGCTTTGTCTGTGAAATAGTGAGAGTAGGTGCCAGACCCTGAACCCTCAGGAACTTTGGTTCATCGTTCGGCCTCCAGAGGGTGCTCCTGCACTCACCAATGTTCTGTCTTCTATTGAAGATCTTCACCAGTTCATATCTCATCTTCCTTGCAGCTGGCTAAGTTTTTAGCAAGGTTATTTCACCAGAATCAGATATACAAAACCTTCCACGGTCGTCTTAGCAGCGTCACTGTTTTTCTCCAGCAGACCCTTCCTCACGCCTATTTTCTAATTCTTGCTTTCTTCAGCCACTCTCCTGCCTGTCCTGTTCCAGAGAGTTCTTCCACAGCAGAGCTGCAGGCCTCCTGGCTTTCAGCCATGCTCCTGGTGCTCCTCTCGGTGCTGGGGGTTCACTTTCTCCTGAGTGAGTATAGCGTCCTCGTGGTCTCTGTATCCCGGGATTCTGACTGTCCTCAGGGAAATCTGTACTTCAGTTACTGACAAAGATTCCTTCACAGGAGACTCCAGAGCACAGTCAGTGACTCAGCCTGAAGCTCGCCTCACTGTCACTGAAGAATCCTCTGTGCAGTTGAGATGCAACTATTCCTATAGTGGAACGCCTTATCTGTTCTGGTATGTCCAGTACCCACGGCAGGAGCTCCAGATGCTCCTCAAGTATTATTCAGGAGACCCCGTGGTTCTCGGCTTGAGTGGCTTTGAGGCTGAGTTTAGCAAGAGCGACTCTTCCTTCCACCTGAAGAAAGCCTCTGTGCACCTGAGCGACTCGGCTGTGTACTTCTGTGCTCTGAGTGCACAGTGTGTGGGGCTGCAGGGGGAGCTGAACATAAACACCCATGGCAGTGGAGAGCTCAACTAAAGGTCTCTCCTTGGGTCTTTGAGGGATCTCTTTCAGTTGCCTTTGCACAACTCTGTTCTTGCAACTATCCACTGTCTGACTTTGTCTCAGAGGTTCTTTGCTTATTTCCAAAATTATCTGATTCTCAATCATAGTCCCTTAGAGTAGAGGATACATTGCTTAGACTACAGCTACAATAAGTGACTTATTGTGTGTGCAGGGAAATACCAGAAGATGTCTTCCATTTGTAATTTATATCTTGTCTACACAGAAAATGAAACTTACTCCTCAGGCTTTGGCCTTAGCTTTGTCTTCTCTACTGAGACTTTCATACTAAGTTTTCTATAAATTCTTCATTTGGTGCTAAATATACTGATCAGAGTTGGTCATACAATTCAAATATTTCTATTCAGGACAGAATCTGATGGATTGTTAGATAATAAAGGAATTCCTCAGAACCATCAAAGACCAGAAATCGGAAATAATTAAGTCCATTGTAGCCATTACAAAAGTAAAACAGGAGAAGGAATAGGAGATCATTGGTATTTTTCCAAAGTATCCCTCATAGTTATAAAAAACTCTCTTTTTGCCATCTCAGATTCTTCAAGTCTACTTGAGAATTTTTGATATGATTCCTTCCTCATCTTTCATTATTACAGATTACTTTCACAGTGGCTTATATGATTTTATTATTGTAACACAAAAGATAAATTCTATTATCATAACATAGCAGTGCCCTGATGAAAACACAGATGAATGTCACAGTGGGTGTTTGGACTCACTGCCTCCAGTATGGAATTGTAATTTCTTCTCTCTGTATTTGGGAGAATTGTTGAAGAGGATTTTAGGCTTCAGTGTATACAACCTAGGAGGATGACAATACTGACGATAAAAAGGAAAAAAACAGAGAATTTTCTAGCTGATTCCCGCTGAAACACAGGAAATGGGTAAGTGTCCATGGAGCCATGAACACCTGAGTATGATTTCCAGCACACACATAGAAAGCTAGGCATGGCGACTGTGCTGTGGTGTGAGCACAGACAGATCCCTAGAGCCCACTACTCAGCCTGCCTAGCCTAACCATGAACTTCCTGTATCAGAGAGAGGGACAGAGAGTGAGAGGAGAGAGAGAGAGAGAGAGAGAGAGAGAGAGAGAGAGAGAGAGAGAGATTTCTTGCCTTCAGTAAATAAAGTGGTCAGCTCCCTAATGACACCTAAGGTTGAACTCTGACTTCCACATTCATGCTCACACCTGTGGATTCAAATACACATATGCACATACACACAAGCAAGTATGCTGGTCATAACCTGAGGAACAACATCCAAGGTTTTCCTCTGGTCTCCTCAAATACACATTAACATACACATACATGGATGCACTCACACAAGTACTTGTCCATGTTCCCCCACACCTGAACCCATATAGACATGAGCATATTCATATAACAAGCACACTTGAATATTTTTATGTAGAACACAAACAAATTATCATGGAGATGTCCTTCTGTGTGCTGTGAATATATTTTTCTGTTTTGGGTTGGTGAATAAAGCTGTTTTGACTGATGGACAGGCTGGATGTAGCCATAGACAGGGTAGAAGTCTGGGAATAGTGATTCAGAGGCTGAGTTAATGGAGAGATGCTATGTAGCCTCTGAAGAAGTAACATGATGGAGCATTACCGGTAAGCCACAGCAACATGGCAATACATAGTTTAATTGAAATTGGTTAATAATTAGGAGAGAGCAAGCCAATAAGAAACCTGAGCCATTGGCCAAATAGTTCATAATTAATATAAACTTCAGTGTATTTATACCGGACACAATGGTGGTGGGACTAGGCAGAACAGAAACCTCATCTTTAAATTTATATGATGATTCTGTTACCAAGTGATATCGCTTATATATTGCTCTTTTAATCTCTTCTTTTTGATCTTCTTCATAATAAAATGAGAAGGCAGTGGTATAACTGTGTCATCCCAGGAATGTTTAAGTATACCTTTGAAATCAACTTATCTCCTGCAGGTAATAAGTTTCTCCACTTTTGTCACTGCAAAACTGGTCTGGTTGAGAACTACAGGTCTGTAGAGTTACATGTAGAGTTTGGTGGCTTGTATGGCACTGCTTTGAATTCTTGCTAAGAAAGATGCTGTGTGACATTCCATGAACCAGGGTGAGACTTTATATATGGATCATGTTGTTCACAATGCAATTTCAGTGTCCTCTGTTCTGGTCTCCGTCTAAAATTGCAGCTAGCAACCCTGGAGGAGTGCATTCTTGGCAGGCATAGCTGACTCTTTATACAGAGAATAACTTCAGTAGCACACATCCAATATCTCACGCTTGAGGTGCAATAATTTATCATTAACTCATCATGAACATTATTGTACTTGTTCACCAAATTTTTAGTGTTTGAGATGTGCACATGTCACAAAAATGGTTTAGAAATTGCTGCTATAACTCCTAGGTATCCCAAGAAAAATAAGTTGTGAAGACAGTTTGTTACCATAACTAAATCTGAAAATATCTGGAGCCTTGCTAGGAAACTACAGGGGAATTTTATTCATATGTCATTAGCATTGGGTGTCTTGTACCACTTTTTGCTTCTTTTTTTAAAGAAATGAGTTGTTTGAAATTAATTGTAATTGCTTAGTTTCCCCTTTCCCTTTTTTCTAGTCAACCTCTCCTACAAAGGCACCCCTATCTCAGCAGAATACTCCTGCTGTGCTGGAGGCCACACCAGTACTAGGAACCCCAGGTAAAACCCCACCCATTGCCCACTGATACACATTAAAACCAGCCCAGTGGTCCCTCCCAGGCTCCATATCTAATCCCATAACTCTATCAAATGATGCCTGCACTACTGGAGACCAGACCAGTACTATCAATCCCAGAGACCAAGTTGGTACTCAGAAACCCACAGCCCATACAGGCCACCAAATCGCCACAGAAACCACCCAATGGACCTGAATCTGGTCCCTAGAACCACAGGCCAGTAGTGCCAGAAAATCAGAAAGAAAAAATAAAACAAATGGCACAACATCAAAAGCATTCATGTAACAAAGATAAAATGATAAATCAACATATAAGCCTATAACAATCCGAATTCCGATGACTATATGACACCATCAAAGCCCACATATCCTACTATGGAAAGCCCTGGATATTCTAGCACAGCTGAAACACAGGAAATGACCTTCTTTCCAATTTTATGAAGATAATAGAGTCTATTAAAGAGGAAATGAATAAAAGAAATTCAGGAAAACACAAACATTTGAAGGAAATGAATAAAACCGTTGAAGACCTGAAAACGGAATTAGAAGCAATAAGGAAGGCACAAATCAAGGAAATGCTGGAAATGGAAAATTTAAGTGGTTGTTTGAAAAAATTGCCCACAAAGGGAGTGGCCACTATTCGGAGGTATGGTTTTGCTGGTATGGTATGTTTGTAGGTGTTTTCTTGTTGGAGGAAGTGTGTTTGTGTAGAGGAGGGTTTTGAGGGTGTTATATACTCAAGGCATGCCCAGTGAAACAGTCTACTTGCTATTGCATTCTGTTTAAGACATAGCCAGAACCATGTCTGCCTGCATGCCACTATGCTCTTTGTCATAATAATGAATTGAACCCTTGAAACTGTAAGTGAGTCACCCCAATTAAATGCTTTTTTATGAGTTACTGTGGACATGGTGTCTCTTCACAGAAATGGAAATCTCCATACTGATTTCCAAAGTGGCTGTACAACTTGGCACTCCCACCAGCAGTGGAGGAGTGTTCCCCTTTCACCAAAACATCTCCAGCACAAATTATGTTGGTGTTTTTGATTTTAGCCATTCCGACAGGAGTAAGATGGTATCTCAGAGTTGTTTTGATTTGCATTTCCCAGATGGCTAAGGATGTTGACCACTTTCTCAAATGACTCTCAGCCATTTTAGACTCCTCTATTGAGAATTCTCTATGTAGTTCTGTAGACCACATTTTAATTGGGTCCTTTGGTGATTTAGAGACTTGCTTCTTGAGTTCTTTGTAAATTTTGGAAATCAGCCCTCTGTCAGATGGAGGGTTAGTGATTATCTTTTCCCATTCTGTGGACTGCCTTTTTGTCTTGCTGACAGTGTCCTTTTCCTTACAGAAGCTTCTCAGTTTCAGGAGATCCAATTTGTTAATTGTCTATCTCAGTGTCTGTACTACTGTTGTTATGTTCAAGAAGCTGTCTCCTGTACCAATTCGTTCAAGGGTACCACCCATGTTCTCTTATAAGAGGTACAGTGAGGCTGGATTTATATTAAGGTCTTTGATCCATTTGGACTTAAGATTTGTGCATGGCGATAGACGTGCATCTATCTGCACTCTTCTGCATGCCAGCATTCAGTTATCACAGCACCATTTGTTAAAGATGCTTTCTTTTTTCCATTGTATATTTTTAGCTTCTTTGTCGAAGATCAGATGTTCATACATGCATGGGTTAATATCAGGGTGTTCAATTCGATTCCATTGGCCTACCTGTCTATTTTTGTGCCAATACCAAGCTGTTTTCAGGACTACAGATCTATAATAGAGCTTGAGGTCGGGGATGGTGATGCCTCTAGATGTTGCTTTGTTGAGTAAGGTTGTTTAGGCTGTCCTGGGTCTTTTGTTTATCCATACAAAATTGATTATTGTTCTTTCAACGTCTGTGAAGAATTGTGCTGGTATTTTAATGGGGATTGCGTTGAATCTGTAGATTGCTTTTGGCAGGATTGCCATTTTTACTACATTGATCCTACCTATCCTATTGATCCTATCCAAGGGCATGGGAGATCTTTCCATTTTCTGAGGCTTCTTCAATTTCTTTCTTGAAAGACTCAAAGTTCTTGCGATATAGTTCTTTCACTTGTTTGGTTAGCGTTACCCCAAGGTATTTCATGTTGTTTGTGGCAATTGTAAATGGTAATGTTTCTCTGATTTCTTTCTCAACCCGTTTATCATCTGTATATAGTAGGGCTACTGATTTTCTTGAGTTGATCTTGTAGCCTGTCACTTTGCTGAAAGTACTTATCAGCTGTAGGAGTTCCCTGGTAGAGTTCTTTGATCACTTATGTAAACTATCATGTCATCTGCAAATAGTGAAAGTTTGACTTCTACCTCTCCAATTTGTATCCCCTTGATCTCTTTTTGTTATGGTATGGCTCTAGCTAGAACTTCAAGTACAATATCGGAAAGGTATGAAGAGAGAGTGTACAGCTTTATCTTGTTCCTGATTTTAGTGGAATCACCTTGAGTTTCTGTCCATTTATTTTGATGTTGGCTGTTGATTAGCTGTATATAGCTTTTATTATATTTAGGTATGATCCTGTTATTCCAGATCACTCCAAGACCTTTATCATGAATTGGTGATCGATATTGTCAAAGGCTTTTTCTGCATCTAGTGAGATGATCATATGATTTTTGTTTCTCAAGTTGTTTATATGGTGGATTACATTGATGGATTTTTGTATGTTGCACCAACCCTGCATCCCTGGGATGAAACCTACTTGATCGTGGTGAATTATTGTTTTGACTTGTTCTTGGATCAGATTTTCCAGTTTTTAATTGTATATTTTTGCATCAATGTTCATGAGGGATATTGGTCTGAAGTGCTCTTTCTTAGCTGTGTCTTGGGATCAAGGTTATTGAAACCTCTTAGAAAGAGTTTGGCAAAGACGCTTCTTCGTCTATTGCATGAAATACTTTGAGAAGAATTGGTATAAGCTGCTCTTTGAATTTCTGGAAGAATTATGCACTGAGGCCATCTGGACCTGAGCTTTTTTTTGGTTGGGAGACTTTTGATGATTGCTTCTATATCCATAGGGGTTATAGGGCTATTTAATTTGCTTCTCTGTTCTTGACTTAATTTTGGCAAGTGATATCTATCCAGTAAATTGTTCATTTCCTTTAAATTTTAGAATTTTGTGGAGTACAGGTCCTCAAAGTATGACCTGATGATTCTCTGAATTTCCTCATGGTCCATTGTTATGTCCCCCTTTATGTTTCTGATTTTGTCAATTTGCATATTCATACTCTGCTGTTTGGTAAGTTTGGACAAAGGTTTGTCTATCTTGTTTATTTTTTCAAAGAACCAAGTCATTGTTCCATTGATTCTTTGTATTGTTTTCCTAGTTTCTACTTTATTGATTTCAGCCCTCAGTTGGATTATTTCCTGGCGTCTACTCCTCCTGTGGAATTTGCTTCTTTGTGTTTTAGAGTTTTAAGCTGTGCTGTTAATTCTCTAGAATAACTATTCTCTAGTTTCTTCATGTGGGAACTTAGTGCTATGAACTTCCCTTGTAGCACTGCTTTCAAAGTGTCCCATAGGTTTGGGTATGTTGTGTCTTCATTCTCATTGAATTCTAGGAAGTCTTTAAATTCTTTTTTTCATTTCTTCTTTGTCCCAGGAATGGTGCACTTGTACATTATTCAATTTCCATGACTTTGTAGGGTTTCTGCAACTTGTGTTTTTGTTGAATTCTAATTTCAACATATGGTTGTCTGATAGCATGGAGTTTTTTGTACCTGCTGAGGTTTGATATGTTGCCAGGTTTGATATGTAGAGATGGTTCCATTTGGTGGTGGTAAGAAGGTATATTCTTTTTTATGTGGATGGCATGTTCTATAGATGTCTGTTAATCCCAGTTGGGTCATTACTTCTATTAGACCCTTTGCTTCTTTGTTAAGTTTCTGTCTGGAATTCCTGTCTAGTGGTGTGAGTGGGGTGTTGAAGTCTCCCACTATAAGTGTGTGGGTCTTTATATGTGATTTAAGTTTTAGTAATGTTTCTTTTACGAATGTGGATGACTTTGTATTTGAGGCATAGATGTTCAGAATTGAAACTACTTTTTGGTGGATTTCTCCCGTGATGAGTATGTAATCACCTCCTTCATCTCTTTTGATTGATTTTAAATTAAAGTCTAATTTGTTAGGTATTAGGATTGCTACCACGGCTTGTTTTTTAGTTTCTTGGAAAAGATTTTCCAATCAAAGGTACCCAAGAAACTATTTGTTAAGTTGCCTAGAGGTTTGATGATCTGAGAATAGAACATAAAGGCACAAGACAATCCACTCACAAAGCAATGAGTACGGGTGATGGTGTGGAGATCACGCAGATCTTTAGATCTCAATCATTCTGTAGAAAACACAGATATCTAGAGTCTGTTCCCTGCATCCCATTTGTCTATCAATGTATTTTAACAACAATTATCTGAACAAAAATTTCACTGGGAATTAAGCGGATGAACACTCTCTGTTAGGACTATGTTTATATTTCCCTAAATGGTCTTTTTTATAGTTGTATCTATCTTTTTTATTATCATTTTTTATTTTAATTTTAAATAGCTTGTTTTACATGTCAATCCCAGTTCCCTCTCCCTCCCCTCCTCCCGCACTCCCCTTCCCCCCCACCCTCCCACCGTATTGCCAAATCCTTCCCTAAATGGTCTTAAGTCCAAGAGATTCCTTTTATTCTGTACAATGCATTGCATGCAGTTTTGTCAAATATTGTAATTTAAGAGTCCTGCCAGGTATTTCTTATTGAAGTGTGGGCACTTGCATAGCAGTAGATACCCAACACAGAGTGAATCCATTGGTGTTATTGTATAATACTGCTTAGTTTGAGCATTATTTTTTATCTCACTGGTCTTTTGTATCTACTTATATATATTTTGTGTTTTGATCAGTTTTTTTAGTGAGAGTATATTCTTTGTTATTTTTTAAAATTCTGCTTTATTGGGGTTTTGCTTGTTTGCCTCTTTGTTTGACTTAAAGAGAGAGAGAAGATAGTAGTACAGTGTCCTGGGGTCTCCATCACTATCCTCCGTACTTGTGGAGCTATTGCCACACAGAGTCCTGAGGTGGAATTGGGTGTGGCTTCTTCTTCAGATGAACAAGGAAGTTGTGTATCAGAGAGAACCTGTTGTGTGTAAGCACAAGTGTGTCTGGGTACAAGACTTGACACCCTCACAGCTGGAGGGAAGGTATCCCAGTAACTTGTCAGGGGCCATGGATGGGAAGCTGGGAGCTGTGCCGGGGATTCTGTGGGTGCGGATTTGCTGTGAGTTGTGCTCACCTATGTTGCTGTAGGGATTCTCCAGAGAGGTCAGTGGTAGAGGAGACAACCCACAGCTTCTGTGTAATCATCCTCATGGTGTCACCAGGGATATTTGATAGGTGTGGGTGAAAACTCCTCACTGATTCTGGTTTGCTTTTCTGTTTCCAATCAGGGGTGAGAGGAGTTGAGGTAGAGCAGAATCCTTCAGCCCTGAGTCTCCATGAGGGAACCAGTTCTATATTCACATGCAATTTTTCTACAACCCTGACAGCTGTGCAGTGGTTCTGGCAGAATCCCAGGGGCAGCCTCATCAATCTTTTTTACCTGGCTCCAGGAACAAAGGAGAATGGGAGTTTAACTGCAACATTCAATTCTAAGGAGCACGACAGCACCCTGCACATCAGGGACGCCCAACTGGAGGACTCAGGCACCTACCTCTATGCTGCTGATACACAGTGCTCCCAGCAATCCTGAGGCCTGGCCCCAAACTGCAGCTAGGTGTGCAGCTACAGCCCTGCCACAGGGAGACTCTGCAGGAGGCTTCTATACAACTGTGTTTTTAACAGATCTCCACCTGTTACAAGGAAACAGAAAATACCACAGCAAAAGTTCACACTTCAATCAGATTGATGTGATACTGACTTGTAGAAGAATAAAAGCTCAGAAGCATCAGCCTCATGACTAAAATCTACACTTTGTTTTGTCAAATGCTAGTGATAATTTCATAAAACATAAACCCTCTTAAACACTCCAGATTCATTTTGGTCCTTTTCTACATTCTATGTAATATATTATGATCACTGCTTCCCTTCCCACATCACCTTTCAGACTGTCCCCATGTCCTCACCTATCTAAGTAAACCTACCTCCCTCTTTTCTGAAAAAAAAACAAGTTAGTAAACAAACCAGAATTGAATGAAGAAACAAAAAATAACACATGCATACACAAAAATTAATACAAGCACAATATTGGATACCATAACATATAAGCAAGCAAATAATATGCTAAATAATTCCCAGATAAGAAAACATGAGATAAGAAAATCTATAAAACTAAAGTTGAGTTCATTTGAGTTGGCCATCTATACCTGGGTGTGAGGCCTGTCATTAAGTGTGGTTTGTAAGTGAAATGCTGTTGGTAAAAGCTAACTTTTCATTCATGAGAGGTTGTCAGTTGGAGATAGCATCTAGGTTAGGGATGAGGGATCATGTTCACTGTCACCTCTCATCACTGGGATCCCATCTGTATAGGACCTGTGCAGGCCATGAGCTTATTGTCACCATCTCTATGAGTTCATATGTGATCCAGTCTTATTGTGTCTAGAGGACATTGTTTCCTTACTGCCACCATTCCCCCTGGCTTGTATAATCTTTATGTTTCATGTTCTGCAAAATTCTCTAAACCCTGAGTGGAGAAGTTTGATGGGGACATTCCATTTAGGACTGGGTGTGAAGATGAATCCTCAGCGAATGTAAGAGAAATGAGAGGACAGGACTCTGCAAGTTGTCTATTACAGGAGATGGTACCAGGGGAGCTATAATGGAGGATAAGAAGGACAGTGAAGATGACCTGCCTACTTTCCAAGTCTACATGTACCATGAGTTACCAGTTAGACAGTGTTTGTAGCTTTTTTACCATTGAGACAAAGAAAAGGAAATGGGTTACAAATAGGGTGGTGTGGTGATGGGAGGGTACACAGGAAAGAAGAAATTTGGATTTGTTGCAAGGTTTGGCAAATTCTCCAGAGATCCTACCACTGCTGTTCTATCACTAATTCAGTCTAGACATGGTGGGAGTGAGTCACATGGATGGTGCCATCCTCAAGATCAAATCACTTCTGAAAGCTTTCCTAAGAGTAGTTCCTATGTATATTTGTGATTCCTAGTCATCTTCTCTGGAGAGTAAGATACATGTATATAAACATTATATCTGTATTGTCAACAAGATCTCTCTGTAATTGAAAGAATATTGGAATTTTGCAACTGAAAGTCCACGAGAGATAGAAAAAGCTGTTACTTGGCTAACATAGCTCTCAAGGACAAATGCTGGCCTAAGTATCTGTCTCCAATAAAAGGAGGAGTTGCTTGATGAATGACCTGAGCATTCTGAGATAAGGGATTGCATCAGTAAAAATAGTTCTAGACATAAGAAATCTCTCTCTGTCTCTGTCTCTTTCTTTCCAAGTCTCTCTCTTGTACACACATATACACACATCACATACAGCTTATACATGAAATAATCTTGTATACATGCTAAAATACGAAGTATCATATGTAATCTATGGTAGATTTAAAGATAGAAAATGGTATCACTAGTGTGTATAAATATAAATTTGTTATCACATCACTAAAATGCCTTTGACATGACAAAATAATGATTTATGTGTCTGAGTCACTCATTGGTTAAGCAAAAGTTGGGCAGTAAACCTCAGCTGTTGGGGAGTATGCAGAGGATTCTCTTCCTCTTGTGTTGGTTGTGCAGGCTCAGGTCAGAAACACAGACTTTTTCTCAGTACTGAGTGGATGACTCTAGAGGTAGCATTTTTAATGACAAAGAACAACACCCTGGTGCTTTAACTGACCTCCTAGATGTTATGATCTATACTGGATCTTAATGTAATTGTGATGAATGATGAAGACAAATGTTCTAATTTTCTTCATGTTTCTATGGCAGCAGCTGGATGGTAAGTTAATATCTTTGGAACACAGAATACTCAGTGGGCATTTCTGAGACATCTAGGAAAAACCTCTATTTTATTCAGGATTTCTCTAGTTACTGTATAAAAAGGAATCCTGGGTAATGATGACCTGACAACCTTTCTCCTTTTTCTTCATCATTCTTTATAGGAGTGAGCCAAGGAGAGCAGGTCGAGCAGCGTCCTTCCACCCTGAGAAACCAGGAGGGAGCGAATGCTGTCATCAACTGCACTTACACAGACAGTGTCTCATCCTACTTCCCTTGGTATAAGCAGGGCCCTGGAGAGCATCCTAAGCTCATTATTGACATTCGATCAACTATGGAGAGAAAGCAGGACCAACGACTGATAGTTTTACAGGATAAGAAAGCCAAAAACTTCTCCCTGCACATCAAAGACACCCAGCCTGGGGACTCTGCCATGTACTTCTGAGCTGCAAGTGCACACTGCTCCCCAGGCACATGTAGTCTGTCCTCAAACCTGCCACAGGGCCTGGAGCCCCCTCCACATCCTGTGTCACAGGCCTTCCTGTGCAACATTTGCCAGTTGTTAGTTGTCAAAGCCAAATATAGTGCAGACACTAAATACACGGAAAAGAAAGTTAGCTTCAAGTCACTCAAAACAATTTAGGGGAAATTTCTCCTTTTGTTTTTAAAAATTATTCTGAAACTTGAAATACAGTTTTGTCATTCCCGGTCCATGGTTCATCACTGTACTTCAGAGAAGATGAGGTTGTAGCACATTCAGCCCCAGGTGGGATATCTCCCAAGGTCACTGAGGAAGAGTAACAGAAAGGATGCCAGAAAAATAGGCAGGGGATGAAAACAAAGAGACAGTGATTTCTGGACACAGCAGAGTAGCTGCACACATGAACTCCCAGAGGTCTACAGCATACATAATACTTGCAAAGAATCAGGCCATCACAATTGCAGCAAGCAAAGGGAAGGTGGTCATTCCACCGTTAAACAAGGAGCTATGGGCAGCAGGTAGCTGCTGGCAGGATTCATGTTTCTTTATTGGTGCAGGACTTGGTGGATAGACTACCCTCCACTAAAGGCCACACATCCAAGAATATATGGACTGTGTAAACCTTGATTGCTTATTTTAAAGGAGCAAAGGAACTAGGTTGGTAGGGAAGAGTGGATGAATACGGCAGGAGTTTAGGAGGTAGGTGTATATAATGAATATTCTTTGCAAAACATTCCCTAAGAACAAATAAAATGAGAAACATATTAAAATTTTATGAGGTATGTAAATATATGTACATATATATATAATTTTATGTGTATTTATCACACTAAATGCCATAGGATACATACATTTCAGTAATGCCCGGGATTTCAGATATCAGCTGTGGACTTGTGACCTTTATTCACTTTATTCACAATGTGTTGTGCAGACTTCTGTAGTGCAGTTTGAGGCGAAATCAGCAGAGGGCATGGACTCTTCAGATGTGATTAATGTCTCATCAGGTGGTGGCTTCACATGACAGACTGTCACTGTACAGAAGGAGGTCTTTGTTTATGAGGGAGGAGTTTCAGTAAGGTCCTGAGGAGACTTGTCCTGTGAGTTTGGTGAACTCAAGAAGCAAGTGTCATTGTCTTCTGTGAACATGCTTCCTGACACCTGCCCAGTTCTGCTGCTCCTCTTGATGCTCAGTGAGTTACATTTACCTGAGTGTTGATGACGTCATCTTCTCACAGTTGTGGGAGTCTTTACATTCTGTCTCACATAGAGAAGTTATTTCTCCTTATTTATTTATTCATTATTTATCTTCAGGAAAGATCAATGGAGATTCAGTGACCCAGACAGAAGGCCTGGTTACTGTCACAGAGGGGTCGCCTGTGATACTGAACTGCACCTACCAGACTACTTATTCAACTACTACAGTTTTCTGGTACATGCAACACCTCAGCAAAGGCCCTCAGCTGCTTCGGAGCAGCGCCACAGACAACAAGAGGACAGAGCAGCAAGGGTTCCATGCCACTCTCCATAAGAGCAGCAGCTCCTTCCACCTGCAGAAGTCCTCAGTGCAGCTGTCAGACTCTGCCCTGTACTACTGTGCTCTGAGTGACACAGTGAGGGAGATGCAGGGGAAGCTGCACACAAACCAAGGTGCAGGAGGCTGAGGGGAGGGGCCCTGTGAGGGAGGGCTGTGTGACTCTCTCAGTGGAGTTCACACAGCCTTGTGAAAAACAGCAATAAATATCAGTGTACATTCCTAGAGCCCTTGGGATCTGTGGATTTTCTCACAGGATAGGCTGGAAGTCATTGCCAGAGACAACACAGCCTGACTCCACAGTGACACACTTCCTCCAACATGACCACATCTACTCCAACAAGGCCACAACTCCTAGTTAGTGCCATTCCCTTTGAGATTATGGAGGCCAATTTCACTAAAAGTACAACAATGTCTAATACATACTTATAAATAAGTATATACTTTGTTTGTGTTCCTGGGTCTGGGTTACCTCACTCAGGATTATCTTTTCTAGTTCCATCTATTTGCCAGAAATTTTAAAGAAGCCATTGTTTTAAACATTAATCAATATTCCACTGTGTAGATAAAAGATTGGTTATGTGAAAGTTACACTATTGTTTATAATGTCATACTAAAATAATGTCTCAGGGATCAACAAGATAGGAGAGATTATGTTTCAATAATGCTGTCTTTATGTGTCAGGTTGACAAGTGGAGAGTTGTGATGGCTAATTTTTGTCTATTTGACACAAACTAGAAACACCCAGGAAGAAAAATTTAATCAAATAATTTTATTTCTTATAACTGTTTGCAGGCATGTTTGTGGATATATTCTTCTTTAACAATTGATAAAAGATGGCCCAGCCCACTGTGAGCCTTGTCACCTCTGGGCAGAATGTACTGGGTTGTATGAAAAACAAGATGATTAAGCCAGGGGATCAAGTCGGTAAGGAGATTTCATGTGTGTTTCCTGCCACTGTTGCAGCTTGAATCCCTGACTAGGCTAACTTTAGTGACTCGGCCATGATCAGCAATGTAAATCAGTTAAATTAGTTCCTCCCTAAGTTTAACCTGTTCATTACGTTTATTTTAGCAATAGTAAGCAAACAGATTTAAACACAGGAAGAGTTTACCCTATCCTGACATGGGCATTTTCATATGTTATCCTGTGACGTCTAGTAGGCCTATTCTGTCTTTATAACACTGAAGCTTCATCTTAGCTCTCATTAATGTATGCTTGTGTATAAGCTTCTACAATGGAGAAATTTTTAATTTGATCCTTTATTTAATTTTATACTTATTGTAATTATCAGCACACATTAATTACATGGATTATTGAGTTTCTTATATAATTTAAATGAATTCATTTATATTGATATCTTCATATTCATCCTGCCTCAACCCTTCATTTTCTTCTCTTGTTCTCGTGTCTTCATTCCCCCTACACTTATTAATTTGTATAGCTTCTATTTTCAAACCATCTTTTTTATTTCATTGCCATTTTCTTTTTTTTAAGATTTCACATTTGAGAACACATGTGTGTTGTGTGTCTCTATATGTCTTTCAATACTATCTATTTTTCTGTGGAGGATGGCTAAACTTCATTTAAACTTGTGGTTCATCATGACTCTGTTGCTTCAGGCCCAACATTTTACTCATTCCTTCTTTGACTGGTGGTTCCCAGGCTGCAGCTACATCTTCCAATCATGAATGGCGCTTTAATAAACACTTATGGATGTATCTCTCTTAAATGATGAGATATTTAACATGGATAAGTGCTCTTAAGTGAATAATTGCTTGCTTTCTCTCTTGCTCTCTTTATCTCACTCTCTCTCACACTGACTCTTTTCTTTGTATATATCTTTCAGAAAATCCACAATGCTGTTCTTTGTAGCTATATCAAAACACATTTCTAAATGGTGCATAATGGTAGAATTATTAGGAGGGAATTTCTGATTCTTAATGATTCGGAGATACTAAATTTGAGCAAAAGGGGGAGGTCCTTCGTATGTCAGAAATCACTTTAGACAAAGTGGAGGCATGGGATAACTTGGGTACCAGACAAAATCATGAATGCTGAAACTATAAAGAGAAAGAACAGACCTGGGAACCTAATGACGTTTGTTATGTCTCTACTTGGGTGAGTGGTCAGCAGAAGGAGAGACATGACCAGCAGCAAGTGTGACAAACTCCCCAATCTCTGAAAGTCTTGGAAGGAGGGACTTCAGTTCTAAACTGCACTTATGAGAACAGTGCATTTGACTACTTCCAACAGTACAGGCAGATCCCTGGCAAAGGCCCTGTACTCCTGATAGCCATACATTCAGTGTTGAATAAAAAAGAAGATGGAAGATTCACAGTCTTCTTCAGTGAAAAGGTTAAACAGCTCTCCTTGCACATCACAGGTTCTCAGTCTGGAGACTCAGCCACCTCCTTCTGTGCATCAAGTGCACAGTGCTCTCCAGGCACCTGCAGCCCCCACCCAAACCTGCAGCTGAGGCTACAGGGAAACCCTGCTGTGGGGCTGAGTCAGGCAGAGGTGCAGAGCAGTTTTCATTTGCTGGATCAGGTGACTTCTTCTATGCAATAGAAGAAGAAGGGTATTTGCCAAACTCTTTTTATGAGGCTTCAATAACATTGATACCCAAGCCACACAAAGACACAACTAAGAAAGAGAACTTCAGACCAAATTCCCTCATAAACTTTGATGCAAAAATACTCAATACAATACTGGAAAATTGGATCCAAGAACACATCAGATAACAAATCCACCATGATCAAGTAGGCTTCATTCCAGTGGAGGGATGGTTCAACGTATGAAAATCTAGCAATGTAATACACCATATAAACAAGCTGAGGAACAAAAATCACATGATCATCTGAGTAGATGCTGAAAAAGCCTTTGACAAAATCCAACACCCCTTCATGGTAAAGGTCTTGGAGAGATCTGGGATAACAGGAACATACCTAAACATGATAAAAGCTATATACAGCAAAGCAACAGCCAACATTAAAATAAATGGACAGAAACTCAAGGCGATTCTGCTAAAATCAGGAACAAGGCAAGGCTGTCCACTCTCCCCGTATCTCTTTGATACTGTACTCGAAGTTCTAGCTAGAGCAATAAGACAACAAAAAGAGATCAAGGGGATACAAATTGGAAAGAAAGAGGTCAAACTTTCACTATTTGCAGATGACATGATAGATTACATAAATGACCCAAAGATTTTACCAGGGAACTCTTAAAGCTGATTAACACCTTCAGCCAAATGGGAGGATACAAGATCAACTCAAGAAAATCAATAGCCCTACTATATACAGAAAATAAGAGGGCTGAGAAAGAAATCAGAGAAACATCACCCTTTACAACTGCCACACACAATGCTAATCAAAGAAGTGAAAGACCTGTATTGCAAGAACTTTGATTCTTTAAAGAAAGAAATTAAAGAAGA